CACTACACCCAAATAAAATCTAATTAGTAACTTGACGTTTGGTTGGTGAGAAATATACAACTCACTGAGATTTATGACAGGAAACGAGGCCAAAAACTCTCAACTGCGCCCATAGTCAACATTCCAAAAAACACGTTTTGTAAAATATCAGATACTCCTAATAGCCCAAGGAAACGAATGATACCATAGGATCTCGACCTTAATAGTAACAACTTTTCGTAGTTAGCATTTTCGAGTATTAACTTAGATATGAACGGGATTGTCGCCGTTATAGATGCAACCTGCTCTCCGAGAGTCGACTTATTACAGTGAATTCGTTAGAACGCTTCACCGGTATAGCAGAGGTATTGAGGGTTCAAAGGCCCGAAAGCCTGAAACTTTTGAGGCGTCCTTTTCGCACAGCAAAAGTTGCGTATAACTGCAACCATATTTTTCACATTTAATTCTTCGTCCAGCAGTTCTAAAATATAATAATGGTATATTCATTATTTGATATAGTCTCTAATTAGTTAAGAATTTGAACTGCCGATGAAAACATCTTTCATCCAACTGTAGTTTTTATTCCTCGCATTTCATTATACTGCTACAGAAATTTGGTACCTTTCTCATAAAGTTCATATGCTTGCAATAAAATTACATGATAATTCTCTAATTATCAAAATATTATTTCTTTGCATTAGAGTCCATTGAACGTTGTAAGAAATACCCGAAGCCCAAAAACGGTCACGTGGTTTGCGATAGCCTTTTTCGACTGTTTTGTACTCCGGAGTGTAATGAGGGCTTTACGTTTGAATTCAAACCCGCTGTTATGTACATGTGTGGACCCATAACAGGGAAATGGTTTACTTATCCTGAAGGAGAAAAAGTCCCCTGGCCAGACTGTGTAAGAAAAGAGAGGTAAACGTAACTTTCAGTTATTTGCCGTGACAGTTAAAGTACTACGTATACTAAAGTCTTCAATAGCATATTTAATATCTTAATAGCACCTTTTGAAACTGTTGTTCACGTTTATTCACTTAGTACCCTTTTATGCTAAAACCTAGTTTTAAAGAATAATTTAGCACTGGTCAAGTTTATTCTTTTTCTACCTAGTAATTACCTCATTGCTTTTGACGGGCAAAATGTCAAACTGTCAACAGCTGAGTCCTTAAAGATTCACCTGTAAAGCCTAGCCTCCATTGTTTGCTGAAGTGAGAAAGTTCAAAGATATCACCGTGGAGGGCTAAACGATTTTCATCACGGCGTCACTAATCAGTTTTGTTGTGGTAAAGGAACAAAATGTCTTATTGAAATATTTAGAGAACAGCCGGTCAGGTGATAAGTCATCCCGTTTTATAACTCGATTTTGCTTGGTTTGTATTTACCCTAGCTCCGAAAACCATGCCATAGGAAATGACATGACCAGTCGCAGAGCGCAAATCGCTGCAACATTGCATGGCATGCATTTTGGCTTTTCTCCTTCCAAATACCAACAACAGCCGGTACAACTTGGTAGACCAGATGCAAGGTAACGTTATCGTGGGAATAGAGTGGTTTTCGTTTGAGTGTCGTAAAACCAAAACCAAAGTAATTACTCTGGCCAATCACATAGGACACAGACAATACATTGAACCAATCAAAACTCGAAGTAATTACATGTGGCTGACGCAAAGCGCGGGAAAATGCATGCGAGCGCGTCACAATTGGCTTTGGTTTTACTTCTGATTGGATGAAAAGGTGGCGCGAATCTTTTAAGCCAATCGCATCGTGTAGAAAGTGCAAAACCAATTACTTTTCGACACTCAAATGAAAACCGCTCTATAGGCGATGACCCTGTTTTCCGGTGGCCATCCTCGGAGACCCAGGAGCGGTCAGTCGGGTCGGAGGAACGGTACGGCACGAAATACTGACTGCCCCTGGATCTCCAAGGATGATTTATTGAATAAATTTTAGTACTTTATTTAGTGTAGAATATTTCTTTACATCATGCTGCTACAGTAAAGTATCATTTAGTTTTGGCAACTTAAAGTTAAATTCCCACTTGATCATATACTGAGAGGGACGTAATTATTGCAAAGACTCCGACAGTGCATGTTCGACCGTCAAAAAACGCGGAATTGATTCTCTTCCGAAACTGGTTGGTCCCAAGTTCCTCCCTTTCAAAGAAGAATTAGCAGTGTTTTAGGAAAATCACTCTATCACGAATAGCATACCTTACGCTCGGTTACCATCCGCTTTTTGAGGAGATGTACCTGCCGCGAGCCTAAGCACACCCCAATGTTAGGGTTTAATTCTGATAACTGACACGGCAGTAGATCAGCCATACGATGAAATGACGAAAAACAAAAAAAAGATGCTTTGATAAACTGAGACAGCGACAAAGACAAGCGCAAATACAATAGCAAACTACCGACAGACACATGAATTACTCCTCAAAATACCTGAAATAAAGGATTTTGAAATTCTGACAAGGGGCATACGTACCTTCTTAAGAGGGCTTCGTTGAGGAGCGATAACAAGTAAATGGCCCATGCCATTTTTTGTGGATTGCCCAGTGACGGAACTAAAACATTAAGCACAGTCGCTATTTAATTACCAAAAGGAATCAGGGTTGTCCTTCACTAGAAATGTAACACTTCGACCTACATTAAGACTTGTTGTTTTCATTATCGTAGATATCTTCAGATGTTTAACTACATTCAAAGAGCGCAGCAGCAAAATAGTAACAACCAAGTGGGAAGATATCGCAGCCTGGACACTCGGGAACAACATCGACAGCTTGAATCACTACAGCGTCTGCAGCAAAGACAAAAATATTTACAGCTGCCAGAACAATGGCATATGAGCAGACTGAGAGTAACACCAACTAGATTAATGGTAAAACCACAAAATTATCAACCACAAATATTTCAAAAGGGCCGCCAACAGGATCAAAAACAGAAACAGCAGCAGAGAAATTTACTGTTATTGCAACAACAATGGCGGATAGGGAAACAGACATGGCAACCACGAGAATTAATACAACAATCACAGAATTATCAGCCAGATCTTACTAACAAGGAACGCAAACAGCGTCAGGCCATTGATTCAACAGTTATAGATAAACAATTAAATGTTCAAACCAGCTATCCGAATTCGAGAGAAAATATTCTGACAAACAGAGGAATGGGCATTTCGCACATTGCACCACCCGGGCGAGCAGAATTAAGTAAAAACTTTAAAACAAGGCAAATTCCTTATAAATACTCTTCTCCATACACAACACTTCAAAGTACATATGAAGAAACAAAAAAGGGAAGTTCATTGTTTCAACGAAGTAATCTACAAGTTAATTCCCGGCCTACCCTAAAATACCCACAGCCTCAAAATCGCATTTTTGAGCAAAACAAGCCAATAATACCACAAGGGGGACTTCTTACGGCTGCACAAGAAAGAACCTCGCTTAGGCAGCAAAGCAGCTTGGCATTAAATTCCCAAAAAGATGTAAAATCACAACTTTGGAAAGATAGCCGGGGCCAGAATACTGCGCATGCTGGTGTAGTCTCTCAACCTACCAATCAAATCGCATCTACAGGCTTAGATACAAAGCTATCCAACCAAGCAGGGAGAGTCCCTATTGGCCATTCTCCTTTGATGTTATTAGGAACTGCCAAAACTCGAAAAGAGGACTTGGTCCATAAATCTGTGAGTTATAAATTTCCAAATTACTATGAAAACGCTCCAAACTTCAACTCAAATCAGATGCCAAATACAACGTCTAAGATGGACGAACGACCAAAAAAACTCAGAAAAAAGGAAAAGTTATTCTATTTTCCAATCAAAAGAGACACACTTGTACAAATATTACTCACAAATCTGCAAGAAAAATTCAAATCGTTTGATGAAAAAAGAAGTATTAACTCAACAAGTCAAAGAACTTCAACAAACAAAGAAAATGTCACCAAATTACACGTTCCGGATGGCTCTCAAGCTAAAAATTCAAATTATGGATACGGAATTAAGCCACCGAGTGCACCTGCTCCGACGATACAACTGAATAAATCGCAAACTTTCGATTCATCAAGAAATATTCTATATAATTATTTTGCAAATGACAGTGAATCCCACAGAGCCAGAAAAGATAGTGTTTATGCACCGAACAATCTATATGACAAGCCTTCTGCTGTGAACCCCAATCCCGAGGTTCCAGAGTACAGGCCAATACATGTGTAGTATTTCCAGTTGACGAATTGTGGTAAGTGTTTTTAAGAGGATTTGGCCCTGCGCATGCTGTCAACAGATCAGTTCCAAGTAAGACAAAATAATCAAATCAAATGAAGAATGATCGCCGCAGTTGTGAACGCAATTTATGCAATTGCGTACGAAGCCTGAAAAAAATTCATGACTTCAATAGGGTTTGAACCCCCGTGCCTTAGCGATACTGTTGCGATTCTAACCAACTGAGCTATGAAGCCGCTGATGTTGTGAGCTGGTCAATTATGTGTTCATATGTTTCCGTGAAAGAGATGAATGTGATTGATGTATATCTAAATAGACACAGATATTACGGACACATTACTTTAATTTTTGTATTTCTACAGGTGTTCTTTGGGCATTTTAGATAATTCTAAGACCGCTTGTTGAGGACCAAACTACCTTACCTCGAGTCCTCGAGAGGGAGTAGAGCTCTTAACTGTGTGATTGCTCCACACACTTCATAATCTGCTTTCTGCTTTTTTTTTTCGTCTTTTTTTAATCATGTCCACACGTATCGTTTGTCCCCATCCACTCATACCTGCTTTTGTTGAAAATGAATATTTTTATACGAATTGGGCCTACATTATTCCCCAATTCTCCCTCTATTCTTCTCAAAAGCAGACCAAAGTTGTCTCACCAACCAACGCCGCTATGTGCTGGTTTAACCCTGGATCTACGATCTATTACTTGTGGGTCTTTATTGAGTCGTTTACTGCGCTTTTCAAACATGCGAATTCTGAAGTTCAAAAGCCAACTGACGATTGCGTTTTTCACTGCCGTCAATCATCTTAACGGATTTCTTAGGAAACAAAACTTTACTTTAACGGGTTCAAAATGTCATGGTTTGTGATTTGTGATTGGTGGATTTCGTTCCGTTTTGTGTGTTTCTGTGTTTCAAGGTTCGTTGCTTGTGATCGTAATTATGATTGACGGCAGCGAAAAACGCAATTGTGAAGGCGGCTTTTGAACTTTAGAGTTCGCATGTTTGTGAAAAGCGCAGTAATCCCTCGGTTTTTGAAGTCCATGTTTTAACATTTAACAGGGATACAATCATTTAAAAATGATCGTTTCGTCTGTCCCCATCCACTGATTGTGTAGCATTCTGGAATGCATGTGTGCCACTCCGCTCTACGGACACCCATTTATAATACGGAAACTCGTATATAGCGGACAGTTTCGTTTTTCCCGACGAAAAGCTCAAATACTTTCTCAAAAAATTAAATTTCTTTATACGGACAAAGGTTAATACGGACAACGGACACTCGTTTCTGTGTCTTGAGTCACAAACTCTCATATATCGTCAACCTCGCTTTACGGACGCTATCTGCATCAGTACAAAATAGAGACATGGATTCCATTGTCGGGTTTCAAGAAAAATACTCGAAATGACCATCAGGTTTCCTCGCATGTTCCCTTAGTGCCCTTGATGATAACCAGCTTCCACTGTAGCAACCTAGAACATTTTAATAACCTAAAAAATATATATTAAGCTACGCTAGAAATCTCAAAAAAGGGGTAAGGTGGCTAAAATATCGCGTGGAACAAAAAAAGCCACCTTAAAAATGCTGTGACTCCAACATCTTCAAAAAAATATCTGTTTTCATCCGTCTATTCTAGTACGGAAACAAAGATTTTACAAATTTTGGCTCTAGAGAGCAATTTGCCATGATTTGAAAAACGGTGCATGACCGTACACGTGTGGACGAAAGGCCGAAGGCCAATCTGCCCAAAAAAACGCGTGTGGACGGGACCTTTATGCGGTCTCGTTTCGGCAGTTGACTTGTATAAGTACTTCATTTTCTCATACTAATTTGAAAATTCATGTTTGCTTAAAATTTTTGTCCTTCACGCTATCTGATATTACTTTCAATTGATTGACACCTGGACAGGCCGAGCTGAACGAGAAATCCTTGAATGGTGATAAAAATCTTGAAAAAAAAAGAAGAAGATTCAAACTTCTCGGTGAAGAATAAGCTAGAAAATTTTTATTATTGAAGCTTTTGTTAAAATCTTCTAATTAAAAGAATAGAAACCGGGATTGATATCCATATTGACTATAGGATAAAAACATAAATGTCCACCTGAGTAAACTTTTATTTCAGTCGGTCATTTAAATATTGCAATACTTAATAAGCATTCAGCCATAGAGCGATCGACCCCATCTTCAACTGTGATATTAAAGGCGGAGATGTTCTTGAGATGGCACAGCCAACAGATATCATTGAAGCCGTCATTCTTGTTTTCTTTTGCACAACCTCAATTCTTGGTAACCTCACTTTATTTTTCGTCGTCACGAGAAGGAAAAACCTTCGCACAATCTCCAACGGTTTTCTTCTCAACTTAGCCTTTGCTGATTTACTTGTATCACTGATCAACATGCCGATTACAGTCGCCACGATCATTGAGCAACGGTGGGTATTTGGAAGAACCGCATGCGTGTTTCTAGGATTCACCACAATGTTGTCGTTCGTTTCGTCTGTAATGTCGCTTGCTATGATAGCTATCAACAGATATTTTTACGTGGTGCAATGGAAAACGTACAAATCGATCTTTACTCCAAGGAGATCTTTTATCTTTGGATCAATTGTATGGCTTATATCTTCGTTGATATCCCTCCCCCCTCTTTTTGGCTGGGCGGAATATCGTTACATCCCTGGAAAATCATTCTGTTTTGTATCCTGGGCCTCCGATGTTTACTACATGTACTTCATGCTAACAATATGCTTTTTTGGCCCCCTGACAGCTATGTCTTTTTCATACTTTCACATTTTGAAATTTACGAAAGAAGCAGGAAAACGCGTTCAGGACCACGGAGATGTTGCGAGAAAACGGTGGGAAAGCGAACTTGGAGATAAGAGAAACAAAAAGCGTTTTAGAATGACACCAACAGAAGTGAAGTTAACAAACACTTTGCTGATTGTTGTTGCTTGTTTCATGTTTTGTTGGAGTCCATTTGCCATCACCATGTTTTTTGATGTTTACTATCCCCATCCATTGCCAAGAATAATTGATATTAGCACTTTACTACTTGGTTACGCTAATAGCATGTGTAACCCTGTGGTTTATGGAATAAGAACTCAAAGTTTCAGAAAAGAAATCCGTAATCTCTTCACAGAATTGTTTTCCTCGTGTTTTACAATACGTGTAGTGTCTTTTGCTGACTCCGCCGTTCAAGTAACTTCTGAACTGCCCCCATTCGATAAAAGCCACAGTGCAGAATTCAGGGAGAAGCAATACGCCGAGAATGAAACCAAAAGTTGAAAATTTAACCCATTACGTACCTTATCATTTACACGGTTACAGTCTCGCTTCTTTAGAATGAGCACAATTATGTAATATACGGAGGAGTTGCAATACTACTGACTCAAAGCTGATTTTAAAATTTTATATAAAACACATTTATTTACGTTTTCGGGGTTTTTAGAACTAAAAAAGTAAAGTCAAACACAGGAGTGAATGGGTGTAATTGTTTTATTATATAGACCAAGTATAGGATTCAGAAGCGCTGATGTCCATATATTCGGCTATTTTCAAATTACAAAAAGAGCAATGTTTAGCAGGTGTTTCTGTCATTTCAATTATATATAGTGGCTTATGGATAGTTTGCCTTGTAATAGGTTGAAACATTTATTGGCAATTTGCATAGACTAAGCTTCCATAATGTCAGATTAAAACAATTGAATAAGAAACAGATTGTTGAAGATTTATTTCACGTTAAAATCATATTCATGGAAAAGATGTTTTCCGAAAATGATAAAGGAAACCGCAGCTTACGAAGAATGAAGTTCCTTTATTACTATTATTAGCCTTAAAAATTGGGAGTCGTGGTAATTTAATTCAATTTTGTATTAAGTAAAAGGAAATAAATAAACATTTTTTTTCATTTACCTGCCTGACGTTAATTGATCTTTATAACAAATTCTGTTATTAAATATTGTAATTGTTGGAAAGCACGTACAATAGGCTTTTTTAAAAAAACGTGTTCCATATATATTTATATCGCGGTCATTTTGGAGAATAAATTTTAAAAAACTTAAACCATATTTATGATTTTTTTTTTTATTCGCACTAACGAAGGAGGGCAGACATGACTTATTTATTAATATGTTATTCTATCTTTTCTAGACCATGTTTCACCAGCATCACTCGTTTGTTCTGGTTTGCTTATTCTATCAATTAAAAATTATTATTTTAAACCTTTTATACGTCCTAACCTTAATTTTAGGGCGATGAGCTGATCTAATATCTCTTCCCTGAAGCAATAGAGAAAGCACAGGATCAAGAGCCTGGGATCAAAAGCAGAGAATTCATCTTTTGATATCAAGTGGCACTTCTGTCTCTGTCAGAAAGCAACTGGCGAGTGACGAACCACATAATGGCTGGGTAGTAGACTACAGAAATCATCATTATCCTGCTGGTCTATAGGAGAACTAATATTGATCAGGGAATTCAGATCAGCCTGACTCAACGCAGTTATTTTATAGTAAACAATTTTTAAAATGACCAATAAGCAATCAAAGGCGGAATCGCTCTGGGCTTGTTAAATAGGGGATAACGGATAAGCTGTTGGGGAAATCGGGTCCTGAAATCAGCTTATGCTTAAATAAACTTTAAATGAAATTTTACATAAGTTCATCAAAGCAACGATGAACGCGGATTATGCATGAAGGTCGAATGAGTCCTCGTTCATAATGCACTTTTACGCCAAAATACCTTTGAGCTATATATAGCTAATCAGATTGAAAAAAAATCACCATCATCGGCTTCCTATATATTAGTCATTAATAAAATCCAACTAGTGGTCTATTATCAGTGCTGTGTTCTGATTGGTTGAGCTACTACTAGGCTTTATGTTATAACCCGCTAGAAGCAAAAAGCGCCGGCTTTGAACACCAAAACAATGGCGGCTGAATCGCGTTTTGCTAGCTAAAGTTGTTTTGTCTCGATATTTTTGACCAACTAGTTGTATTTTACTAAAGCAATTATTCCTCTCGCCCTCATGGCCTCTGAGTCACCAGCACATTCGGCCTTCGGCTTCGTGGGCTATTGACTCAGAGCGCATTCGGTGTCGAGGAATAATTGTTGAATAGCACACATATTCTCTAAGTAGCTACTTACTGAAATAGCCCAGCAATTCAACCACCGCAAGCGTATTTAAAGGTTATCGGGTAAGACTGGATGCAAGCGTTCAGGCTTAAGTGTTTTTTAACCGTCCGGGTGATGAGGATCTATTATCCCCTTTCCATTGCAGTCCACGACCAATCAACGATCAGTTAAGAGCCTAAGGATATGATCAAGAAAAATGAGTTGCTCGATACGGTCCGAACATCTCTCCCAGGAAGCAATAACGAAAGCACAGCAACAACAGCGGAGAATTTGTATTTTGATATTCGTTTGAGACATTTGCTCGATATCTTCGTAATTTTTCTGTCTTTGATTTCGATTATCTTTGAAGGATTTCATACTGGTGCCGGCTGTACATCACATGACACGGTGCACCCAGTCTCGGTATTATTTTGAGGTTCTGTACATTGTTCTGATTGTTGTTGTTGTTGTTTTGTTTGTTTGTTTTTTTTTAATTTGTGGAAAACATCTTTCATTTATTACTGCGATGTCTTTTTGGTAACTCTGAGTTGTCCTTGTTTCGACTATCTTCGCTGGATTTCATAAAGTTTCTGGCTGCACATCTATTTCACACCCGTCACTGCTTTTGTAACCAAGCTAGATTAAAAGAAAAAAACAATTATATATATAGATATATATATATTTTTTTTTTTTTTTTTTTTTGCGGTTGCTTTTATCGTTTTCCCACGGAAAACCTTCATCGGTTAAGCAACAAAAAGTGATTTCTTCTCGTTACGCCTGCCATAATGTATCGAAACTATATACTCTCTTAATTTATAACAATATTTTTTCACCAGCGCAGCCCGGAATATTCTTGTTTTCTACAAATGATAAGTCTGAAAACGTTTTTGAATATTCTTCGATTATAGCATCTGGCATGTCGTACTGCGGTTAAGTTTATGTCTTAGTTGTGCCGTATGCCACTTAATACATATGCAACGTTCAGCGATTTCTGATAACTCAAACATCTGGCAGGTTTGTAGGTTTTATCGGTTTATTTTTGTTTTTGTTGTCCCGCGCAAAGAAAGGAGGAATTTCAGAGTAGGGTTTACTAAAAAGAAGATAACCTTTCAGCTCAAAAAAATGTAATATTCGTTCCAAAATCTGAACCTTGGATTCACTTTTTAAAACTAAAAACTTTAAAATGTTGCAGTTTTCAGCCTAGATGTCCGTAATGTAAAATTTAGCGGTTTTATGCAATGTCATGATATCTCGGTAAAATACCGACATTCTAAATCTCCGAGTCGCACGGTATTAAAAACTCTGAGCCGCGTTAATAAGGCTGAAACAACATCTACCCTTTCCAGCGGCTATTTTTTTGTTGTTGTTGTTGTTATTGTTGTTTTTTTTGTTGTTGTTGTTGTTTTTTTTTTTTTTTTTCATTTTTTTTTTTTTTTTTTTTTTTTTTTTTTTTTTTTTTTTTTTTTCATTTTTGCTGCAAGCATGCTGAAAGCTTTCTTGTTTGCGATTTTTGCTTACATTTGTTTTTTTTCCTCTTTTTGCGGCTTCCTATTTCGGCGACTTATTTTGTACTGACATTTTTTTTCCATTTAAAAGTTACAATTTTACTTCTACTTTTAGGGCACAATTCAAAACGTAATAAATATTAATATTCGAAAATACTGCCAGTATTTGCCTTTTACAGGACTTAACGCAACGTTACATTTGCTTCATCAGTAATGTCTGTAGCTTTTATGTATTTTAATAAATAAACGCTACTATGATTTTTGAAGGAGTTAGAAGCTATCTTATCTCGTTTCCATAGAGACTAAGAAAATCCTATCTTTTCAGCATTTTTGCGAGAACCGTTGTATGGCCTTATCCAATCTTCATTTTCAAGGGTTGATCCAGGGAAGTGCACACCGTTAAGGTCATCAATACTATGACCTCTGCCACGTCGTTGTTCAGGCGATACCCAGTTCTGTCGCGATATGACGACTACGTGACAATGAAATCGTAAAGGACCCAGGTTTGAAACATTCGTCATTTGTGGTAGGCATCAACCCACCTCCCCCCACCCCCCCGCCTCACCACCGCCGCCACCACCATCACCACCACAACCCCGATTCGCTTCTGTAATCAATTTTACCGTCTTTATTTGTCTAGCCTTTTGGTTTAGTCAAAAGTGACCCTAGTACGAATCAAAGACCGTCTGACAATATCAGTAGTCAAGTAATAATTCAAGAGAAGAAATGTCATATAATGCAAGGGGTAGTATGGGGTATCAGTGAGTAGAAAAGCAATTATGAACTCGCGGATACATCAACTGAGGATAGATAATTTTTCACTCACCCAACCATTTCTGAAATCAACTTTGTCCCTATATAGCTGTCAAAAATCTTCTTTAATAAATCAAAAAAAAGCCAAAAATGGAAATATTTTACGCCTGAAATAAACGTTTTTGTTGATGTTGTTGTTGTTTCTATTATTAATCCAATATGCCACAAACAAACCGTACGTGTAGGCTCACATTTGTTATTCTTGTGGGTCTTTTCAGCGTGCGTTTCAGATTAAGATTGGTTGATGATTAAAAAACAAGGGGAAATAAAATGATTAATACATAATTTTAGGAATTTCCTGCAAAATATCGATGGCAAGTAAACGATAGATTTAAGTCTCCAAGTAAGCGTGGGCACATTGTTAAAATAACACCTTATGTTTTCGGAAACTGAGTGTTTTATGTTTATGTTTTCTATCACATCTGTTTTTCATGGAAATACACACATCTCAGGAGAGATGAAAAGTTCATTCTCATTCCCGTATCTGTCACTGATTTTCTCAGATACTTAAAAGGTAATTTTTGATCAAAAAATGCATGTGACCTCCAGAGGGTAAATTGCTAACAATGTTATCCGCCAAGACTAGAAGCGGAGGAAAATATGCTATTGACATACATAATATCCTTTTAAAAAGGGATATTATTTATAAAATTGGATGATTTTTTATTATTATCTTTCAAAGCGCAAATATTTTTGTTTGACATCTTTCTATAGTTATATTTGGAGTGTAAAATGAAAGCATATTTATTAGATAAAAAAACCTATTTTCGAAACATTCGGACAGTTTAATATCACCAATACTTTAAAAATCATTGAGGAATTGGCAATTTAAACGAAAGCAATTTACTTTAGCAAAGTTTATGTCTTGTTCAGTCCTAAAGTTTCTTTCCTTTTTGATCAAAAGGCTCCTTTCAAGAGGAATTTTTCCCTTCATTTACATCATTCACTTCATTGCCACTATAACAAGCAGATGTAAGACTGATGCTCAGCTGAATTTCAACCGAGATAGAGGGGCTTGACACGACATATGCCCAGCTAAGGAAAACTTAAACAAAAAAATTATCTGATTACTCTCACCAAGCAACTTTTGCCTTCTGTTATTAGCAAGGAGCAGGAGGCGTTCAGAAGGTCTTATCTTGATCTACTTTATTTCCATGATTAATTTTCACCCTTTAAATACGAGCCTTTTTTAATTCAATCAGAAATGTACTACGCTGAAATCAAGCCACCTTGGTGAGAAATTCAACTGATCAGAACGACGTTCTACTGTATCAGTAAAACAAGGAGCGCTCAAAGGTTAGATGTTACCTGGGAAATACTTAGACCAACAAGCTAGGAGTTTTACTCGGTGTTTAACACAAAATATCTGGTCATTTATTAAATGCCAGGAAAACGGGGAACTGTTCTTATATCAATGAAATAGATCCAGCGCCGCTTAAAATCAAACAGATCTAGTAATGCCTTTTCGCCTGAAATTCTGTAATTTTATATGCTAACAAGAAGTTACCGGTATAAGGTCCTACGTATCACCTAGAAAGAAAGCTGAACCGAAGTGATCTGTTTCTCTAATAGAGATCATTGTATGCTGTATGCTGTACGTCGATTTTTTGGGTGTCATTCAGATTTCTAAATACGGGTAAAATGAAGGATCTGTAAATTGATTTATCGAATATAAGGATTAACTGATTAAGTAATAGTATATGCAGAGGGTCATTTCTGTTAACAGATTCAGAATCGTTAAGACCGCATAACAGCTTAAAAACGGATAAAGCTAGAAAGTGCATACGCTGCCTGGCTTTTTAACTAATTCCAATCATAAATACGTTAGAAAGCTAATAATTTACAAGTAAGCTGCTGTTACTGAAAACACGTGGGGGGGGGGGTGGGGTTGGGTTGCCTTGGGATCGTCGAAAATGACAAAAAAGGTTACGTCGTTTTTTTTCCAGTCATTTAGCATGATTATAGTTTACTAAAAAGCGTATTGAATTATAGATCTTTTAAGATTAATTTTTGCGTTTATGTAAGTGTCAGTATCGCCATGTTCTAAAGAACACCAAAGGAACAGAATGGATATATACTATAGTGGTCTACTGATGTCCACGTTGCAGACGAGGTGTTCGTATCCTTTTAGCATAGAGTTTGGAATACGCCAGTTTTAAATTATCAAAATTCATACTTGGCTCCGAGGCTGAATGGAATAAAACAAAAGAAATGAATTATCAATCCCTGAATCACTCAATGCAATTTCTTAATTTTGTTTTATACCGCTCAGCGTCGGAGCAAAGCCGTATAAATCATGATCACTAAACCGAAACTGGGCTATTGCTTGACTTTCGCGGTATCTTTGGAACCAAATGAACTGCCCATAAAAGGAAGTTCGACTGATTATTAAATCCTTGATTTAGAAGCATCGAAACAATTCATTTTGTTTCAACATTTCATGAATATGCCTTACTTTCTCTCTCTGTCTTATAGATGAAAATATCCTCGATCGCGTTGGTCATCGCGTTTTTCGCCCTCCTTTCTCGTGGTAGAGCTAATAGGCTTCCTTCGACAGTTAACTATAAACCATGTGTCCGTGAATGTCGGCTATACCTGAGACTGTGTGGTGATTATAGCGGCTCGTATGAGCTTTGCTCTTTATTTCGGCGAGACTGTCTTGGGAACAAGTACTGCAATGAAGAGGTCTTCTGCATGGATTCCTGTAAAGTATCAGGCAAAAAATGATAAAACTGATAAAACTCAGAAATGAACATTGCAACCGGTTTACGTACAAAAATAGAGGACTTCGAAATTGCTTGATGTAAATTTAATAATAAAAGAAACATACAAATGAATTTTTGTTGTATTAATATGCAAAGCGGTTCAGTAAAAGTAAGTTGAGTAACACTCGATATCCACTTCTCTCGAGCTCTAGCTAAAATCATTGTATCAATTTAGGTTTATGGGAAACTCCCCACCTACCCCTCCTCTAAGCTAGCACTAACACTTACTTCTCGCTTAGGGCAAAATGACCGCTTAGGGGAGGGGTAGGTGGGCATTTTCCCAAAAACCTAAATTTATCCAAATCATCCAGTCTGGAGAATCGAGTTATCGCCCTCCGGATTCCGGAATCCGGAAAATGTTTGCTTGTGGAATCCGGAGTCCTGGGCTTTGGAATCCGGAATTGAGCTCAAGGAATCCGGAATGCCATTAATGATTGGAATCCGGAATCCATTTTCCACTGACCAAGAATACGGAATTTAGCACTTGGAATCCGGAATCCATGGCATAGAATCTAGAATCCAAGAATGTTTATTGCACAATGTCTAGATAGCGAAATTAAGAATTTTTGATTTGGTTTTTTGGAACCCTTAATGTTTCATTTTCATCCGAGTTTATGAAGTGCAATTTTCATCCATCGTTAAGAACGCACCTTTTATCGGTTCTCCAGTTCCACAGCTGTCCTCTTCCCATCCAGCCTCCGCTCGGAAATTAATTTTAAGTGTATATTAACATTCTCCTTTGACATGCTAGTAAGTACTTCAAATTAGATTCAAATTCAGCTATCGTTTTCGAGTCGAATAAAATGATTTACCGAAATACATTATTAAGAAAACAAAATTTAACTTCGACAGATAGACATTGACTGTTATATGGTAATACTAGTCACGTATGTATGATATGCATCCCTATATGGAATCATCCTTTCAAAAACTTCCAGGGTAAACATGTGGCACTAAATGTCGGCTTTTTTTGTTTGTTGTGGTTTAAGGCTTGGAGTACTTGCAGGAGGAATTAATCTTAAACAGATTGGAGATATTAAATTTCATCAAGTCGGGCTACAACATTTCATGAGAGAGATTTCATCATTTTCTTAAATTTCACTTTCTAAATTGAAATTGTGGGTATGCCAGGGCTTGTTTGTTTTTCTGTAGAAGTGGAAACCGGAGAACCCGGGCAAAAAAGTCACGGACTGAAGGGGAAAACCAGCAACAGATCAGGCTGAACCCAAAAGTCAGCTTCTGATACTAACCCGGACCATATTAATTAGGAAAGAGAAACAATTGCTCTCACCACTGCCCGGCTTATCATGTAGTAAAGTATGGCTCCCCTTAATCAAGCCTTACTTATTTTTTCAAGAGCACGTCCCCGTTGGGTCTTTATATCCTATCTTACTAGCAAGTACTTGACGTAAGTAAAGGTTTGGCGGAAAACCAAGGTTAAAAAATATCGCTGATATTTCATCCATAACGACAACTTTATGGAAAAGAAAAAACCTGACCGTTTCCAAAGGAGAGTGCCTAAGTGTTAAAACTGAAATAAGTATATTCTTTGAATGTCTGCTATAATTAACTGCCAAAATGATAACAAAGAGAATTCTTTGAAAGGGTGGAGACAATTGTAGATGGATCTCTGCCAATTTATACCGTTTTTCTATCAGATTATTCCTGTCTGAAAAGAAATAGCAAGAAAAGGTCAAGAAGAAGGCCTTGTTTTGCAAACAGGTTTTTCTCGAACACTGGCCCGCATTCATACATACCGCTACCCCGCAGAGTTAGATTAGATCATTTGTAACGCCCTGTCGATAAATACGAGGTTAGTTAGCAATCACCTTTTATGATCCATGGCGAAAAACAAATAGGGCATTGGTAAAAACAGCAGCGACATGAAGAAGCTCATTTTGGAATACCAAAGCTGCAAGCAGAAAAGTTCCTGTCTTCTGGCGGAGGGTGACTCGAGCAAGTTAAATGAAATTGGTATCAAGCCCGATGGGTTTAAATCTTACACAGTTTGTTTAGCTGCAGTGATCTGTAACATCATAGTTTGCGGCTATTCATACAGCTTTGGACTACTTTTGCCCCCTCTTCTCGATCATTTCAAAGAGGATACTGCTACAACAGGTAAAATACACAACCTTTCAATTTCTTTTCTTCATTTATTTTATCTCTTATTTACACTTTTAAATATTAATTGCGGTGTACCATTGTTGCTTTGAATAAATATTCCCGCCACCTGCAAGAAATGTAACAAAACATAATTAGCTGCCCTCTTTTCAGGATACGAGACTGAATCCGGATAGGACCAGAAAAAAGTTAAAACACGCAAAAAAAAACAGACAGATGGCTTCAGTCCTGATTTATAATGAAAATGAATGGCATCCACAACCTTTCGATGAATAAAGTCAAGAAATTGGGATATCATAGAAGATTATTAATGAGTAACTTCTTTAAGTTTTGGGTCGATTCGCGCGAGAACCTGAATTTCAGTTATTCGTCGAAAAAGTTCCATACAAATTTACAGAGTTGATGGTATGGAGCAGCATTAAAAAAACTTATTAATAAGCAACCGAGATTAACCCGCACATTTCAAACTTCATCGCTCTTTTTCCATCTAATTCAATTTGTTAAATGTTAGCGAATTTTCTGGAGCTTATAATTAATCCTTAAGGTCTGTATCTAAGTTAAGAAAAAGAAAACCGTTGTCTTGTGTAAACGTTTAACAGAAAACGTGAAGTTAGGAAGTTTCACGTCCTAAGACGAAGACGAAATGTACAGAAAAGAGTAAAGTATATACGAGAAAAGTTGTTGGGTTTTACTAATCTAATCCTATTTGAATGGAAATACATGAAATGATTCACATTAACTGCGGATAAAGATATATGAAGGTGGAGATGATCCTCGCAGTTGAATAATCACCCGCTGATATTTTCTCTTATTTTCGCGTGCCTTTCACTTACGCGTCATCCCCAATATCTGAGAGCCTGGAACAGGCTAGTAAATATCAAACGGTTTGGACCTTGTCTTTATGCCACACACCGTTTCTGAAATTCAAAATGTGCTGTTGATGCCCAGGCACGGTGCCCAAGTACAGTTCTCGCTGGGGTTCTGATGTGAACATAATGGTTTTTCAAGTACCCACGCCAGTGCACAGTGGCGGTCCCTGAGAACAAGTAGAGAGATAGTACCTGTGTACTTAAGTGGGCAATGGGTCACTTTTTGCGCACGCTTTCTTTTAGTCCCAAAACATTCCACATAACTTTCCGGGTTCGGGTCTCACTGAACAAAGTGAAACAAATGCGTACACAGTTACAAATCGGGTACTCACACACACTACTTTGTGCTGGTAACTAGGCACTAGTTCTCGGGCATCAAGTCTGAAGAGCCCCTTATTACTTTCGTTATCTCGCCCCGTACTGTATATTACGGATCCTCGTTTTTTTTTAAACTCCGAACTCGGCTAAACGTAGCACCAGCCTAATAAAACAAAAAAAATTACACAACCTGTTAATTAATTGAGGCCGCTGTTACCATTCTCCTCTGCAGCTTATGTGGGATCCTTGTGCATGTCAGTCAGCTGTCTTCTTGGACCAGTGGCCTCTAGTCTCTGTGACCGTTATGGTTGTCGCGCCACAACTATTTCAGGTGGCTTAGCATGTGTTATAGGACTGCTAATGACGTCACAAGCGCCTAGCATATATTGTATGTACCTAACATTCAGCGTGATAGTAGGTTTTGGGATTTGCTGTGTTTATACTACAAGTTTTGTCATCGTTCCTCGATACTTTTTAAAAAGGCGCTCTTTGGCGACAGGTGTTATTACCTGCGGTCCTGCAGGAGGCTTACTGGTGATGAGCCCCTTTCTACAATTCTTACTGGACACTTTACAGTGGAGAAAGACGTTCATAGCTATGGCAGGACTGGCTGCATTGATTTGCTTCTTTGCACTAATTTATGATCCACTCACAGCAAAAGAGATTTCAGATTTTGAGGGAGTATCAAACACAAAACAACCTCACGCAACCTGTGAAAGACAATCATCGTGGAAGAGGAACATCTTCACAAATCCAGTGCTCCTTATCTGGTCAGCCTGTCCAGCTGTAGCGTACCTAGGATTATATGTCCCACAAGTTCTATTGGTAAACTTTTATTTGTTTTTGTTTTCTTATCACCGCGTTTTCATAGATCAGTTTTTATTTAAAACGATTTTGGCGCAAATCTGAAATATCTTTGAACTCACACAAACCTATCAGCAAATCCTACAGATCTAAAAATGACGTTTAGTTTTCCTATTTGATATCTTAAACTTTGAATGCGTTCATAGGAGGAACGGAGCCTCCTTTTTACGAAGGAAAAAAAGTTCTAAGCTGTATCTAAAAATAAAACCAGTCTGTGAACGCACCGTGACTTAGACCTCTGGGAGTAGCTCGCCCCGAGTTATGGGCTCCTGCCATGGACCGGCTGAAAAATTTGACAGGACTCCTCGTTCATTCGCACAACCGACGATCCAGGTTGAATTTTAACTTTTCTCAGTGGTTTTAACATCGTTCTATGCCAAGAGCTTTACTATAGCAAATTCTAAATGGCGTCTCCCGGCTGAGTTAACACGCTAAACGGCAGACCCAGCATCCAGGCTTATTTCCCATAGATATGCCTTCCAGAAATTATCACTTTGTCATAAACTAAGGAGTTTTCGTGATTTTGTTCGATCGCTAGTCAGTTCGTGTCAGAGAGGAACGTCCGACGGATTTGCGAGCGAGTTAAATTTCCGATACAAACAACTAGTCACTCTCGTTTGGATACTATGAACTGAAAAAAAACGGGGAAATGGCGGGAAATCCATATGCTTTGCAGTGAACAAAACATTTAAATCATACATCGTCAGGAGCCGATTAGGCTGCTGGCATCGTTCGTAGCCTCTTATTGGGTGGAGAACATACTCTAAGAAAATTTATTTTGCAGCGACTATATCTGAGAATGTATATTGCAAAATACTCTTTAGGTGAAGTATGCAGAGCAAAAGGGAGTACCGCCCGATGAGTCAGCCATATTCTTTTGTTACATCGGCCTCACCTCTGCTGTAGCAAGAATCCTTGTTGGGCATGTATGTGACTTCAAATGTGTTAAAGTGGAGCTAATCACTCAAGCTGCCATCTACATCAACGGCGTCGCTATGTGTATTCTATCGCGAGCAGACTCGTACTCTTACTTCTTGGCCTACTCCCTGGTGTATGGCTTCTGTGATGGGCTGTTTGGCAGCACAGTTAACATTCAGGTCGTGGGTTCCGTCAAACCTCACCTCACATCAAAGGCTATTGGCTTCTGGCTGGCAGTAACATCACCAAGCATAGCAGCGGGGCCACCAGTTGCTGGTAGGTTTAGCAAATATAAGGGGACTCGATTAATTGTCTGGGCACTTGTTACAATTTCAGGGGGTGCTTATTTTATTACGTCTTTCCCACGGGAACGTGTTTTAGCAGACAATACAACTAAAGGAATAATTGCTCTTTCAGATAGCAAGAAAAACGTCTCGCTACAAAAGAAGCTTAACGCCTGTAATATCCTTACAATAAAAGTGATACACGAGGAAGGGAAGGAGGAAGGGTCATATTTACCAGCTTAGCCAAGGGATAGGGCGATTTTACGGAGAAGGGCCGGGAATGGCAATTATAAGGGGCGTTAGTCCTTAAAATGGGCAAACAGCTATTGCTATTACTATCACTACTCCCGTTGTGTTCAGAAAAGCCGTAACAACTCTTCGCGGATCAAATGCTCTAAGATTGCTAATCACTTTTTAACCAAGGCAGTTATTGCTGATGTTATTGCCTTTCTCGGAATGGTCACGTCAGCTTTATTAAATGCGGATTTTTGTGGAGGTGGGTGAGGGGGCTGGGAGTGAGACATTGGTAAGCCGGAATACCGAAACTCGTTAGCAGTGAAAAAAGTGTCTACTTTTTTTCTTGATAGTTTTTATATAAATCATCTGGAGTGTCACGTGAATGAATGGACTACTAAATCTCTGTCTCTTTTATTTTTAGGACTAATCGTTGACAAGACGGGTTCTTACGTACCCGCATTCGCTGTGTCAGCCATATATCTGTTTATTGGAGCAACTATACCCTTTGCGTTATGTTGCCTCAGAAAGAAAAAGACTTCAAGTATCGTAGAAATGCAGCTTACTTCAGATGAGCTTCCGCCAGAGAGAGAAACTGTCGTATAATGCAGTTTTACCGTACCGTTAAAACCCTTTCCCTTTAAATTTCAATTCTCATCTGTTGTCTCAAGGCATTTCCCATAGAAATAGTGATGAGGAGTTGTTAATCCACCTGACCTGGACTGCAAGAAGTCTCTTATTTTTCTTTTGAGACACAGAAGATCGAGAGCACGCGTAATTTTACTTTTTCGCTAGCCGCGCGTGGTTTCGAGGAGACAAGGACGACAGCTCGTGGGCTACTCCTGACCACACTGTTTTATAAAACACTGATGTAACAAGGATAGATTCAATTCTGATCATTGTTAAGGTTTAAAGGATTAAAGAGATGCTGCAGTGTTACCTCCTTATCAGCAGAAACGATTTAAAGTAGCTCGACGCTATTTGAAACCATGGTCTGCTCGTTACCGGGATACAATTCAATCAACCTTCTCAGACAGACAGACAGACAGACGCCATGGGAACAGCTCAAGTTTTCCGTCTTAGCTAGGGAACTGTCCGTCTGGTAGAGAGTTAAGTTACACTAGAACGACTAAGAAACCGAAGGGAAGCCGGGGAAAACCACTAGATGCCCGTCTCATAGAGGTGCTCATCTTAACGAGAGGGTATTGATAATTGCGATGCGGGCTAATGCACGCAATACAATAAAAACACAGAAACATTTTCTTAAGATCTGGAAGGTACAGTATTAAATGTAATCATAGATTGAATATAACGAACTACATTCCCGGTCATAATTGTTGAAAGGCCGTGCTTGACGATTGCTTTGTTCTTTTTCCTTCAATGCTGATTTCGAAGACGTTTCAGTGATTACGTTTACGAGTACGTGCAGCTGAGCAAACACGTGAAACCAACACAGGGGGAAGGAGAGGGCAACAATACGTGTATTTGCGGAAAGACTTAGTTTATCTTGTGTTTTCCAGAAGGGCCTCACTTCAACAAGTTAGGACCGGTGCTTTAGTTCACAAACCCGGTGCCCACCTTACTGTTACGTTTTCTTTAGCCTGAGCCCTCCAGGCACTTTGATCACAGTCTGTTTACTCCTTGGTATACCACAATACCTTACGCTAGTAACAAGTTTACTTTACTGTTACTGTTACAAGTATACTCTTGTAGTCTACTGAGAATCTATTTCTTCGTGAAAGAAATATGAATTTTTATTCCGGCTCATCAATTTTCGAAATGGCGCAAACAGTTACACTAATCAGTTGCCCAATCTGTGAACACACCGTTTTCTGCCGATACCTAGGCACTAGATCTCGGGCACCGCAAAATAATGTTAACATAGTCTTAGTACTGGTTTACTGTTACAAGTATACTCTGAACGTCCTCATAGTTTCTTGTAGTCTGCTGAGAATCTATTTCTTCGTGAACGAAATATGTATTTTTATTCCACGCTGAGATCTAAAAGTATTCAACATTAGCCCGAGATAAGATACTATTTAATGAGGAAATAAAGCAAACATCGTATGGCCTTGGTACAGTTTTCAAATGGATAGGTTTGATCACAGGGTCTTGGTGATTTACCAGTTAATTTTAAGTCACAAGTCGAGCTAGATTGCACCCCTTGACCGAACCCTATTTTAAGTGCGAATTAAGTGAGTTCTTGGGATTGTTTACAGATGATGACGTTTCTTTGCCTCTTTACCAGTAATGAACGGGTTTTTGCTTTGTTTGTCACCCTCTACAAAACTCTTCAACGTTCGGAAATACACCGCCAGATCGATATCGTTTTAACTGATTTTTGTAAGCGGCTCAATAGAAGTGCTACCTTTTGGAGTTAACAAAAGACCTGCTTCTCTGTTTGTGAGAGAAACAAGAAGTGCCGTGGGTGGACCCTTAAACAGGTAGAAACGATCAGATGTAAGAAACACATTTTTCTCGTTCCACAAATACTGGAAATCGGCCGAGAAATGTTTTGCATTTATGACATCAACTGTGACCCCAACACTATTTATAACCAAGACTCTCTTGACGCTTGTGGACTGCTTGAATCAGTAGATTCCTGCTGAGTGGCATAAAAATACGCTTTACTATACAATACTTTTCTATTACTCGACTTAAAGTGTATAAATGAATTAGACGCGGAGGAATGCTGTCAATCAACTGCTATAGGGCCGCATACACAGTTCTTACTAAATGGCGGAGAGAACGCAATGGGCTTTGTTGTATCTTCCCACCCAAGGCACTGCGTCATTTTAAAAAAAACGCATGCGTGCCGCCAATTACTCACAGACGAAAACTTTCAGCTCAAGGGGCCGCCAACGATTCGGTTATCTTAGATTGTTTGGGTGTGGTGATTACTAAGCAAGTAATAATGTTTGCGGCAACGAGTTAGCAACGTAATCAGCTTAGTTCGTGCGCGAAGTCTCTGTTAAGCTTTACAACGTTGTGCATCGTGATAAACAACACCAAGTGGATTGGGGGATTGCCTTTACATCCAGTGGCTTTACTTTTTTGTACCTTAGAGTTACACATTTTAAAAACCTTCATTTGACACCCAATTAAATGATACGGAGCAACATCAGAGTATTCGGTATACCAGAATCGGCTAGCGAGACTTGGGAAATGGCTGAAACGAAAGTGAAGGACGCCATCAAGGAGAAGCTCAACATTGAAGTTGACATCGAGCGCGCTCACCGTGTTGAGCTTAGAAAGTCTGGAGGAATCAATCAAAACCAAGCTAATGCAAAGCTAGAGTTATTGTGTGCCGACTGAGTAGTTGGAAGCAGAAAGAAGCTGTAGTAAGAAAGGCAAGAAAGGAAAAACCAGAAGGACTGTTTATTTGCGAAGATCTTTCGCAAGCGACGCTTGAAAAGAGGAAACCTCATTTGGAGAAGCTCAAGGCGGCCAAGCAAGCAGGAAAATCAGCATATTTTATCTTAGATCGTTTGATCATTCGTGATAAGCCCTCCGGTTCTTCAAATGATTAAGTTAAGTATATTGCAAAATGTTTTTTGTTCGACTCATTAATGGAAGAATTACCGTTTATTCATTTAAACGAAGAAGACTTTCGTTTGGCTATATTTGAGCAGTTAAATGGACCTATACGTTACGATCCCGATAGGTTAGCTAGCCTCAGGTTTAATCCTTTATTATCTGAAACATATAAAAAATTTAGCCTTTCTAGCCATCATGATCCTGATGCTAATTTCTTCACGGAGTTAGTTGACTGCGAATATTATACCGAAGAAAACTTCAATGAAATGTTGCATCAGAAAAATATATTAGAAGTCAATAATTGTTTATCGCTTCTGCATCTTAATATTCGTAGCCTTCATCGTAATTTGGATAGCTTAACCACTTTACTAAAGAATCTAGAGTTGAGGTTCTCTTTTATTGGTATAACTGAGACCTGGCTTCGAGACTCATCGCATCATACCGATATCTCAGGTTATAATTTTGTCCACAATCCACGTAAAGATAGGACAGGTGGAGGTGTAGGTCTATATTTAGCGGACAATTTTGATTTTAAATGTCGACCTGACTTAGTTTTTTCTTGCACTGAATGTGCTGAGTCTTTGTTTGTGGAAATCAATAGGCCGAAAGAGAAAAATATAATTGTAGGTGTGGTTTACAGGCCACCAAATTCAAATTTACGAGATTTTATGAATAGCCTGGATTCGTTGCTTGCAAGTATCTCTAAGGAAAACAAGATTTGCTATGTTTTAGGTGACTGGAATCTAGACTTAATCAACCACCATTGTCACGACACAACTGGAGAATTGTTAGAAACTATGTATTCAAGAATGTTTTTTCCATTGATCACACGTCCGACAAGAATAACTTCTAACACGGCTACGCTAATTGATAATATTTTCACGAATAATTTAAACAACTTATCTGTTAGCGGGCTGATGTTTTGTGATATATCTGATCATCTTCCGATTTTCACACTGCTTCTTGATCAAAACAAGAACTTAAATAAAACTTCTTGGCTTTCTTTTCGTGACAAAAGTGGAAATAATGTCGCTAAGTTTAAAGATAGGCTTGCAAACGTTCATTGGGATGAATTATCTGAATGTAAAGATACTGATTGCGCTTATCGGTGTTTTCTTGATAAATACACTACCATTTACAATGACTGCTTTCCTCTCAAAAAAGTGAAAGTAAAGAATGTTACTTTGAGCAAACCATGGATAACTAAAGGTCTTCTTAAATCGGTAAGAAAAAAGAATTTATTATACAAGCGTTTCCTTGCTAACCCAACTCCATATCGTGAGAAACTTTACAAGAGTTATAAAAACAAATTGACACATTCCCTTCGCGTTGCTAAACGTCTCTACTACAATAAAAAGTTAGATGAATATAAATCAAATGCAAAATCAACTTGGAAATTACTTAACGATCTTATTAACAAGAAGAAAATTAAGTGTAAGTTGCCTTCCATCTTCAAATCTAATGAAGAAGAAATATGTAATCCTACTCATATAGCAAACCGTTTTTGCGAGTATTTTACGAAAATTGGACCTAACTTAGCTAAATCAATTCCGGCGTCTGACAAATCTCATCGTTTCTTTTCTGAATGGAGGCTTTATTAATTCATTTTTTCTTCAATCGGCATCAGAACAAGAAGTCACTGAGATTTGTAGCAGCTTTCGATCCGGTACTGCTCCAGGATATGATAGTATTTCAATGAATGTTGTTAAAGAGTCTTTTAACTTAATCTGCGCACCATTGACGTATATAATTAACTTGTCTCTTAATTCTGGAGTTGTACCCCAAGAGATGAAAATTGCACGAGTTATTCCATTGTTTAAATCTGGTGATAAATCTTTGTTCACAAATTACAGACCCGTAGCAGTGTTACCAGTTTTCTCTAAATTCCTAGAGAGAATCGCCTACAATCGCCTCATTAATTTTTTAAATAAATATGATATTCTTTCCAGGAATCAGTATGGATTCAGAAAAAATTATTCTACCGCACATTCTTTAATCCAATTGTATGACAAGATCTCAAATGCACTTGATAATAAAAGGGTAACTTTAGGCCTATTCATTAACTTATC